CCTGCCCTGAAACTCAGGCAACAAACCAGGGTTTTAGCACAGGCCATTTCGGGCCTGTTTTCAAGACAACCCCTGGTTGAGCTTCAATGCCAGGGTCTGGCACGTTTCGGCATTGGCAAGAGCAGCCTCCTGGACAGGCCAGCACTATATAGGACTGGCCCGCCCTGCAGGCAGGCAGGTAGTTCCTAGGTACTTCCCAGGTACTTCATGTGCAGTTCAGGAGGCAGGAGGTAGTCTTCAGGATTCGGCAGCAGCACTCTGGAGGAGCGCTGCAGGATTAGTAGCAGCGTTAGCAGTAGTCTTCAGCGCTGGGCGCTAGTAGCGTTAGTTGTAGTCTTCAGTCCTGGGCACAATAGCAGCTAGAGTAGTACTAGAGAGAGAGAGATTGGGCGGAGGCCAGGGATATCTGACCCGTGGTCCATAGTGACCAAAAAAAGAATTGTTCTGATCAGTTTCATATCTGACCCGTGGTCCATCAGGACCAAAAAGAAAAAAAGGAATGTATTGTCTGTTCCGATCAGTTTTGTATCTGATCCGTGGTCCATCGAGACCGAAGAAAAGACGACAAAAAAAACGGAAAAGATGCGCAAGCGCGCGTGAAAGAGAGACTCCGACCACCTGCGAGCCCCCCTGCCCCTCGAGTCAAGTGTATCATCGGTACCGATCAGTTTCATATCTGATCCGTGGCCCATCGGGATCCAAACAAAAAAAAAAGAAAGAAATGGAAAAAAAGCATGCTCGCGCGCGGCTCAAAAGAGAGAGAGAGAGAGAGAGAGAGAGAGAGAGGGAAAAACACATGCATGTTATGATCCTGGCCAATTTCGAAATACACATCCATCAGATAACTTGAGAGAAGAGAGAGGATTAGAAGAAGAAGAAGAAGAGAAGAGGATGATGTACACCAGCATAGACAAAAGACAAGGCTCTTTTTCTTCGCCCAACAATCTCCCCCTTCTCTTATTCATACAAGAAATAATAATACAATGTTGAGTAGCAATTTTTTTCTATCAGTTAGTTGTGACGGGAAAAGGTTTTTTTTTTTGCGCGCGAGCGCCGTCCGGTAAGTGCTCCTGCCCGCGCTCTTTTTCGAAGAGTGACAAGCGCGAACCTTTCGCGCCTCTTTCGCGTGCGCCATCGCCGCAAGCACCACACACCATCGCCGAGAAGGAGCGACTCTTCCGCCGCGCCCTTCGGGCGCGGCCGTGTGGTCCGAAATGAACGAAGAGCAACACTATCGGTTACATCATTTGAACACAAGAGCTACAACAGCCAACGTGTCGGGGGCATGTCTTATTCGAAGCTTTGGATTTAAGTATGAACTCCGGCATGGTTTTTGTGCAGGCCATCGACGAAAACGCCATATGCCAACACTAAGGAGGAGATAGCTTCCGCCGCGTCCCCCGGGCGCGGCTAAGTGGTTGAATAGAACGAAGCGCGTACGCACCAGCGCTTACATACGGCGTGATCAAGAGCGACGATAGCCATCGTCACTGGAGGCTTGTCGTAGCTGATAATTGGATGCTCAAGGAATCCCAACGGCCTCGCTGTTCCTACTGAAGAGGCCACTTTCTCCCTCGACCAAGTGAGAAGCTTCCGTCCCCCTACTAACACTCTCGCCTTCTCCCTGCTCCAGGCTTCCATCATCCCCACTCCATACCTCTCCCCCACCCCATCCTCTTCAATGCTACTTTTCCTAGGACTTCCCGCCTCCTCCCTTCGTAATCAGTTCTGACG